AAAAAAAAAAAAAAAAAAAAAAAAAAAAAAAAAGAAGAAGAAGAAGAGGAGGAGAGTACATACTTTGGTGACTTTCTGTGGAAGATTAGTGCCAGAACTATTATAGTTTCAATAATATTAGAGTAGGTCTTGAGTGTTACTTCATACTTGTAGCCATTTTCATCTGAACCCAACGGATTCCAACCTGTTCAACTGATGCTTGAAGACACATCCATTAAAGTGAGGCAACATCTAACAGTCAAGAAGTCAAAAGGAGAAAGGTCGTTAGAAATGCTGAACTGCAGGTGTACCAACCAGTCCTCTTCATGAAAAGAGAGATATGTCTATCCATTCAAACTTGCAGCATGACTAGCAACTCATCTCCCTGGAGAAGATAATCATATTCACAATTGAGAATCCGTAAGTGGGAGCATGAAGCAGATAAAGTACTCGAGTAGTTCTCTCGCATAATGTTCCAGGTACAATCCATAAACATCCACCTTGTTTTATGTATCTATAAATCACCATCCTCTACCTTGCAACATCAATGCATCATAATAGTTTGCTGTGTACCAGACAAGTACGCCACGAAACAAACTTGAAATATAGGGGAAAAAGAATAATAAATTGAAATCTGAAAACCAACGATGAGAATAATTACACTAGAAATCACAATATGTTCCACAACTCTTGCTTCAAAACTATAAATTAGAAACATAACTAAAAATCTGCAAAGAACAAACTATATTTTCAGAGTCCCAGATGAACCATACACCATGTACAAGATAATCTCTCAAATGGTCTTCGTTTCCATCACTTCCAGGTAAGACAAGTATCATAAAAGCCAACTCGTCTGGTACCTGATCCTACTTCCCAGAGCTTGATTTCCATCCCGAAGCTTCATCCCCATCATTGAACACACTATTGTATCAGCGAATAGGGTGGTACTGTGTGATCCCTCGCTTCGGAGGCAACTTCCGCAAAATGAAAAGGATAAGCGAAGAAGGTAGTATCTCCACCAACTGCAAAGAGTTGACAGAATTCTGGTCATCCGCAAAACATATACACAATAATCCCTTTTGTCTTGTTTCTGTGCACTTAATATTGTAAATACAGGCCGAAAACCCAAATTTAGAATACTCATGGGTTTAAATTTACATCAACTTTTACTTATGCTAGGACAAACACACATAAATAATAGAAATAAATCAAGCTTTAATTTCAGTACACATATTCAACACTAAACTCCCGCTATGTGCGGAGTCCGGGGAAGGGCCTAACCACAAGGGTCTATTGTATGCAGTCTTACCCTGCATTTCTGCAAGGGGTTGTTTCCACGGCTTGAACCCATGACCTCCTAGTCACATGGCAGCAACTTTACCAGTTACGCCGGGTCAACCTTTCTAAATTTATTGTTTCACCAAAATGCCGTAAATTGGAGCCAATTTTCAATTCAAGAAAACCTAGATACCATCGCATAAACAAGAAACTCTCAACCCTAACCAAGGAACTGGGGACGAAGTTTGACACATGAAAAGAGTTATTGAATGCCACAAGCTGGTGAATCATATTGGTTTTCCAATTAAGTCATGATTTGGAAACTGTGCTTTGCCAATGTTGCACGGACCTCCAAAATGCTTCTGCACCCGTGTCGGATCTTCCAAAAATACACTACTTTTGCAGGATCCAGCAATATTAATCTTCTTCACTGGCACTTAAAGAGCAATATGCACGCTGAAAGTACTTACCACTAAAGGTTTAGTGCTGTAGGAACTTACCAGGTAGTACACAAAATTCAAAATTGGATGGTCCAGGACATCAAGATCCGCAGCTTTATCAAACGCATTGAAACACAGCTGTGATGCACATGATAAAAGAAATAAGAGTTAACATGGGTCAAGTTGGTTTCATGCCCTTCTTAAACAACTTACAGTTGAAATCCTGGAAGTATAAGCTAGGACTAATTTACTACAACAACAATATTCAGAATATAAAAATACCATCTAAGGAGAATACACAGAGGTCAATCACACATCACAAAAATGGATTGACTGCTTACAAGGCTTTTTGTGGCGGCGTCCTAATTTAGCTGAGAATATCTTATTCGGTAGGAATATGTACTTACCATAATGCATCTAATGAGGAAGCATGTAAAGCATATTGTTGTCACATAGCCAACCTATAGAAGCCAAAATATAGAAGCAGTTCAACGACAAAAAAACAAGAAGAAAGGACAACTAATAATGAGTGACACACAGTACGACAGTAACATGCCTCCTGTAGCTTCTTCTGTCTCCCTTTTGATTCTACAGGGAAACGCCGTAACATGAGGAAAAGCCTGGAAGGAAGTGATGTAAGGTGAAGGAAAACTGTGAACATCAAATAGGTAATGAAACCATGACTACCCACTTTAACCTATTTTTCACATACAAACTATATTAAAATGTGCATGTACCAAAAGGTGAAGGGACAAATTAAACGAACATATACAATCTGCTTTAGGTAGCCTTCAAGGAGTGAGCATATATCAATATCTTATCATGTAAGTTACTAATCAAATTTCCAACTGCATATTTCAACATTAAACTGCAGGATATCTATTTGCACAAACCTAGCAAAGAATAAGAGAAGAAAAAACTTTAGACCATTTAACAGACCAATAAGCTAAGACATAAAAACCAAAAAGAGAGAAGAAAAAGCAAATGCTCATGAAAGTATACAAAAGAATTATGGGAGCAAGTTCTTTATTTAAAATAAAATAAAACGAATTTAGGGACCAAGTCTGAACAAGTGGGATACAGTATTACCATGTGCCTAATCCGAGTAGATGCCACAAAAGGTGTACGTGGCACTCTACGTACCCAGTCTACTTAAGGCAGTCCGTTGGGTTACATGTTCATGTAGATTCATCTCAGACTCCAACAACAACAACAAACCCCGTATAGTCCCACAAGTGGGGTCTAGGAGGGTAGTGTGTACGTAGACTTTACCCCTACCTTGAAGGTAAAGAGGATATTTCCAATAGACCTCATCTCAAAGTCTAATAGAAGATAAAAACCAACTTTATATGTTTTACGAGTGTTGCAGCTGTGAATGAATGATAATATTTTTTACTAGCCAGATTTGGGCTTTGGTTCTAAGATATCCCCATTGTTGCAGAACCCAGTGAGCACTTGCTCTCACTATTAGAAACATTTAAACCAAGAAAATTATTGAACCTAACCTACGTGAAGATCATGAACCCCATGACGATAACACAATTGTAAGAGATAGATGGATGTCTACCATAAATCCAATTCTAAATCCACCATACACTCATCAAACTGGGTGTTATTCTCCTTTCATATCAACTCTTAATCCTGCCTATCTCTCACTAGCTCATCCTTATGAAATTATTCAAATGTTTGGCAACAGCGGGGAAGCACCATGGTCTATGACAAAGCAATATGGACTGCTATATATGAATGAGAACGACTGGATGCATTGCTGCAATCAGAGAGTGAAAGACATCTACTACCTGAGAAACAGCTTATTATATAAATTACATTAAGTTCAGAAAAAGGGATCCTTAAGGCTTAGCTTGGATTAATCTCAGACTGGTTTAAAATCTATGAATTTGCAGGCTGGGTAAGCAGATCATTACTTATCCAAAGGACAACTTTAAGCAAGTAAACAACAATTACATAGCATAACAACAGAGGTTCTTAGAAAGTGAAAGTGGTAAAGGATCTGTGTAGCCGTTACTCAGATATTCTTTTGATAAACATAGCGCCATTGTCTCACAAAGGACAGAAATAAATGCATGGCATATGATCGTCTGCTTGCATTTGTGCTTCTAGATGTGTGGTTCCACCAATGCACTCCTTCAGAGGTTAGATTGAATCACTGGTAAGAGAAATTAGATCTTACCTTCCTCCATAAAGAAGAAACCCCAAGGCTGCAAATAGAGATACACCTGAAAGATAATGCGTGCCAGTACAAAAGAAAATATGTCAGTGCAGACGCAATATATCTATGCAATAAAAAATATTAAAATAAGGTAAAATCCAAAATGCACACCTGCAAAGAACACCTTAGATAAGATGACGAGAGCTGGAATAGGTTTCCACCATATTATGAGCCATAATATAATCTGGAGATTTAATAAGAAAAAGAATAAATCAAGCAACAAACATCCACAAAGCATCTGTAGCTATGAAAGAAATTCAATTTCTCAGATACTGTTTCATGTAAAAACTCTATCACAGGACATAAGCTTGTGTAATGTCCAACTCTGGCACTTAGCAAATCACCAGACGCAGTATCCCTTCTTGATAAAGCATCTTCAAACTTAGAAATCCAGTCCTATTCATGTAATTTCATTTGGAACCAGTAAATTAAGACATTACTGGTGCTGTGTTTCTTTTCTTCCCTCTGATGTGACGAATTTGTATAATTACTGACGCTTTTTTCCTTTTTACTTTGGGATGGGTGCATTTGGGGTTTGGCGGGTGGGGGAAGGGTCGATCATGTGTGTCCTACCCCCAAAAGCAACATGAATACACTTTTTGAGCTTGTACTGGATAGGAAAGTGGTTGAAGGGAAGCTGAAGGCAGGTCTTATTACTATCTGGTGCATGAGAAGACATGTTTAGACGGACGGAATTCAGTCAGCAAATATAAAACAAATAAATTCCAATGTCAGTGTACAACTTGCATTTGATGCAACAACTAGATCTATCAGCAGATAACGCAAACTAAGTAGGAGTAACAATTTAAGTAAAACAAACAAATGCAACTAAGAATTCAAAAGAAAAACCTCTGCTAATTTTTAGAAATACTGAGTAGGTGAAAGACAGTCATTGTGACCCTAGGTCTAGTGGTAAGAGCGCAGCACATGATGTGTGGGTTAGGCACATCCGTGGTTCGAACTCTGCCGCGGACAAGAGCTTGGTATTGAAGTGGATAAGGCTACAAGCTGTGTGTCATTCCCTTGGATCGCTTATCAAAAAAATGAAATGCAGTCCTTGTTTGTAAAACTAGTCAAGTCATAAGTCCACTTGGGAGAATAATCTCTAGGTTTAAAGTTTTGCAATATGTTACAAGTTAATTTAACTCAATGCTCAAGCACCAATGTTTCCCAACTCGTGGGATTATACTGGGTTTGTTGTTGTTGTTGTTGTTGTTGTTGCTCAAGCACCAATGTTTTGCTGAGCACGTGTAGTGTAAGGACTAAATATCTACCTGAACAGCATACACCACTCCATTAATTGTGAAGAAACTAGGCCTAAGAGCATCAGTAGATACAGCACGTGCCTGCCACAGGAAAGACACATATATTAACCTTGAAAAGTGACACAATCTGCAAAGCATTGAGTTGAGAGAACACAGGCAAACCTGATAGTATATCTCAGCCCAGAATAATACTAGCAGAGCAAAAGTTGTGAAGAATGCAAGACTTGGCATATCAAGCAAGATGTGCTGGATAATCTACACAGACATAACCTACATAGTTACAAACTGAAAGGAAACAAAGATAAAAATGGCAACCAGACGTCTAATCTATGTCAGTGCCTAACCTCAGGGTTCAACTTCTGAACATCCCGGCGAAATGCAAAAACAAGCGAGCGAACTACCAAAGGACAAAAACACGACTTCATTACTAAACCCAACAGGTCAAAGCAAACTGAAATGTGCCGGAAAAATCTTTTTTTCCCAAATAGTATAACCCTAACCGGAGTACCGGACAGATCAGAAAAACACCTTGTAATATTTTCAATCAGCATGTTTCCAACATAAATAATTACGTATGAAAGAAGATACCAACCTCCATTCACCAAGAAATTGAGAAAGTGGAAAACTTTCTGAGTGGTCCATCCATACTCGGGAACTCTCATTTGAATCCGAATTAATTGCACCTGCAATTTGACAAAGTTAGAAACAACCAGAGTCACAGGCACATTAAAACAATAATAACAGGGACTATATCTATTTTAGAACACATATTAACCACATGATTACTTGATAAGCAAGAAGATATATTTTTTTTTTGGGATACATGGAAATTCAGATCATCATTCAAAAATCAACTAAGGACACACATAAACGAAAAAACCAACTCGTAGCACCTTCCAATTTCAAACTGGAAGGCGTTTGCATGCTTATAAGAAGTTGCCCTTTGTATAGCATATATAAAGCCAATTTACAGGAAACAAGGAAGAGCGGATAGCTCTCATGGTAAATCAATGAAGCCTAATATTAATTTACGAATTACCCAATTCACCCTCTTGAAGGTTTTTCCAGGTATTAAGGTCCCGTCTTACCCTCACCCATGTGAGATTCAAAAAGCATAGCCAGTTATAAGTACAAATAAATAAAGGATGAGGGTAGCAATAGATTGACAACTAGAGTGTAGTGTTAACTATGACAAATCTTCGAAAGGATACAAAAGATTCAAGTTGCTATCCAATGAAGTGTAATTAAATGATTGAAAAGTTCCTATCTCAAACCTGATACTCCACTAAGTATGGCTATTACATTTCGATGTATCTCGGGGTGTAATGCTTTTGCATTCATCGTATTAATTCCACTTCCTACTTTGCTCTTTTATGATCTCGACTAATGATTCAATTGTCATGTAAAGCGTGGAATTTAAGGTTCTACCAAAACCCTCAAAAAAGAGTTTAAGTTCTATGCACTGACCATAAACAAATTTACACAACCAGATCACATAAAGGCAGGTAAATCTAGTTAATAACATTGATTGATAACCTACAAGTCACGGAAAGTAAACTGTCATAACAAGTTATATTACAAGGATGGTCTAAGAAAATCTTTATAAGGCATCTAAATTCTTAAAGGAGTTTTCGAGCTAATTAATACACAATTACTACCAAAATTTCAAATTAATAAATAATAAATAAAAAGTGATAATTACAAGAGCAACAATTGAAACGACGCCGTATAAGATCGCGAGGACATGGAAAGTACGGTCTTGCCAAACAATGGATTTGTTCACCTCCTCCCACCAACTTAATGCCTCATGCAAGCGGTACGCCACCACCGCCGCTGCCGTCGACGGGTCCGCTGCCGTCTCTACCCGACCCATCGCCGGAGATCCGAAATTAGACACCAAAGTAAAGTAAAAAAAGGAATTTTTTTGAGAATTTGTTTTACTAAAGTCTTTCCTTTTTCAGAAAATTGTTGAGTCTAAAACGGCCGGCGAGAAAGGAGCAGAGAGCGTGTATTAAAGATGTGTACGACGACGTTCCGTGATCGTACTTTTTAGGATTTTGACTATTATTTTATGTTAAGATATGTTGTACTACGAGATTTAAAGAGAATGATGAGGGTAATATTATCTGAAAGGTACAAGTCAAGTGAATCATAGGACAGCTAAAGTAATGAATCGGCACAATTGTTTTGCAACAGATTACACGTGGGTTGACAACGGAGAGGATGTGCTTTAAGATTACTAGCAAAAATTGTTCTGGATAATTGTTCATAATAATTAAAATTAATAACTTAAAAATAAAATAAATAATCTTTTATAACAGGTTAAATAATTTTACATTTTGTCTATAAGTTAAATTCCTATATTGTTAGTGTTTGTATCAAAATCAAATAGACACGTGTCTTCTACTTAAAAGTTTGTGTTTAATTAAAGACAAAAGGTAATACGCTTTTGTTATTTAATTGTGATTAACTATCTGAGCTGAGTAAGTTATTTCTTTTTCGTTCTGTTAAGTGTTAACCATTGCCTAAATTGAAAAGAAGAAACGTGTCTAAAGGGATCAAAAGAAGGAAAAACAAGGCCTCAACCATGAAAAGAACTCGTCTTACAATTATTTTCCCAAAAAACTTCTGTGATTTTTGTACTCTCCCCAATTCAATTTTAGCGGGGGATTTCTATCTGGATATACTATAATGAAAATTTATTTACTATCTTTATTTAGGTTCTTTATTAATTATTTTATATACTCATATTTACTAGTTTTATACAAAACCATAAAAAGGAGAAAATGAAACATATCTTAAATATTGGGTATCAGTTACGGATAATCCCCCTACATTTAAGAAACTCTTCCTTTTTTAAAGGATTACAAAACATCATGTGTCTTTGTACTTATCCACCGTAGGAGATTCGCTGATACCCAAAATCATCACCTCTCTTTCATACAAATCAACTAATATCTCCCTCTCTCTCTCTCATACAAATCAAACTATTATCTCTCTAAAATTGTAGCATCATATATTTCTCTTAATCAATTCCACCAACAACTATTAAAAAGCTTCAACACTTGACAAATCCATCAATATTATCTCTGAAATTGTAGGTGGAGGGGTCTGTCATTGACATACCATTAAAAAGCTTCGAAGCTTTGAATTAGATATTCAGATTTTACGAATTTGTAAATTTTTTTCGATTGGGTGTTCTTGAAAACGATTGAAAATATCATTTAGAGTTTATATCTCAATTTTAAGGGAGATTTGTTAAGTTTAAAGCTGGTTTTAGGTTGAATTTCTGATTGAAACTCGAGGAAGAAGAAGTTTCGGAATTTAGATGGGGTAGTTTGACTCGACATGAAATTTTAGGAAAAGAAAAGAAGCCTTTTGAAATTGTGATCTTAAAAACTTAAGGGGTAAAAGCTTTGTGGGGCCATGACATTTGTGTCGTTATAAAAACCTCTCATTAAGAATAAAATGGGTAAAAATGAAGAGTTTAAAGTTGAATTATTTTCAATTATAAAAAAAATATCATTCTTTTTTGAATAAACTAATAAGAAAAGTGTATCATTTAAATTGAAACGGATAGAGTATCTTGTAAGTGGGGAATCGGTTTTTGGGAGAATCGTACAAAAATGACACGAAAATACTTTTAAAGACGGGAGCTTGTTGTCTTAAGAGGGATATTGCAATTTATTAGAGAATTACTACATGTATATTGACATACAAAATGCTTAAATTATCAACTACGAAACTATAAACAAAATTTAGAACAGTGAGGCTTCCGGCGCAAATCCGGATTTATTAAGGCCCCAATATTAGTATCAGACACCAAATAAAAACTAAAACAAAATAAAAAATAGAACAATAGAACATCAATACAAGTGAAATTTCCATTTTCATGTACCACCAAATCAAAGCTGGAGAAGTGCAAGGAATCATCACCATGAACGTAATGAGATAGTTGACACTTCATCACTTAACCAAAAATCTCAGGTTCGAGCTTTAAAAAACCGAATTAACCAGTTAGTGGGCTACTTCAAATACCAGATAACTAAACCAAAACAAAAAGGAATGCAAGGGCTATGCTGCATATCACCGGGGTATAGTCTATTGAACAGGAAATCAGAACCTAAAAACTCATTTGTGCTTTTTCTATATCAAAAAGGACTTGATCCTAAACTAGTAGGACTCCATGTTCTATTTCACCTTACGAGAATTGCCCCTCTTCTTTCTTCACACCATACTATTCTTGCCGCGCAGTTCCCAACATAAACTTTAACTCGGAATGAGCAAATTGATACAAGTAACAATGTCACTACCGAATATGTATAGGAAAAAAGAAAAAATTACAACTAAGTTCAGCTGAACCAATTTCAAGAGAAAAGATATAGCAAACATGTTTCTTATTAATCCTCTAATGTTACAGTCAACACCCTCTTTGGCAAAACTATAGAGCTGCCAAGTGCCACTAACTGATGGAAAATTTTCTATCCAGTCTGAGTATAAATACAAAGTAAAAATTTCTGATAGCGCAAAGGGCAAGAAAAAGAGTGTTCTCTCTACTTCTAAAAATAAAATCAGTAGAGCAGTTGAATTTGCTCATTCTGAGCCAACCTAAGTAGCTCACAAATGCTTACAGCCATAGCAACAACTTAGAGCAAATGATATATCCCATCATCTACGAGAAAACAACACCCATCTTCTTTGCAAAGTCATCTCCATCATCGTCATCTTCATCTAGGTATTCCTCACCAGCGTCAGCATTCTCACCTTCATCTAAATTGTAGTCTTCACCATCAACCTGCTCATAATCATAATCTCTCTGATCATGACCTTCGGGGTCTTGATCATCTTCTTCTTCCACAATCATCCCTTCTTCAGCTTCAAGTTCATTTGCACCATCGTGTAGAGGAGATTGATGACCAGCAGATATCGTCTCTTGAGGCCCATTTTTCTCACCTGATGGAGGATCAGATTCTTCCTTTTGCCCAAGGTCAGACCTGCTCCTGGAGATTGAGGAAGTTACCAATGAGTGGTCTTTTCTTTCATGTTGATAGTCTTCACTCTTATCAGATGGCATGCCCGTTTCACTTCTTCTTTTTCTCTTCAGGATCTCTTGCAGAGGCATTGGTCCTTCAAATGATAGATCACCTCCACTTTGCTGATAGCTATCATGCTTTTGGAACTTACGCTTCCCTAGGGCCTGTTGCTCGTCGACATTTTGTTCACTGGTCTCAGCAGTTTTCCTACCTTTAAGTTCTGCAAGCCTTCGTGGACCAGAAAAATCAGAATTATTCTCACTTATATCTTTTCTAAGGCGTGGACCACTGTTATTTCTTCCAGCATTACTGAGATCCTCCTGCACTCTTCCCTTTATTCTATCACGAAGCCTTCCCTGTTGAGAGAAAAGCTGGGGCCTTTCTAAAGATAACCTGCCACGGTTCCTAGCCCTATCCGTTTCCCTATCTAACCCCATGTCCGCCCCATTAGTTGGAGAGGATGATCTACTTGGTAACTTTATTCTTCCTCGAAGACGACTAGCAACAGAACTATCATGTGAGGGTAAATGCTGTCGATCCCTCCTGGAACCCTGGTAGCCTCGATCATCAACATGCTTTTCACTTGCATAGTCATGACTAATGACTGACCTCAACCCATTAACCCTCTTATGCTTTGATAAACGATGTCTCAGATCTGACTCTCGAACTTCTTCGGGGCTGTACGCTCTACCATAGCGTCTCCTCTCAAGATGAGCTGATTCCCCTTGTATTATCTCAGAAGAAGCTCTATGCTGCACCCTACCAGAGCGACCCGCAAGCCTGTCGTGAGAGTCACGCTCGTACACATCATGGTATGCATCTTGGTCATTATCTGCTACTGAAGTGTAATCGGCAGAGCGGCCAATATCGTATTCATTCCTTTCCGCATCTCTGCCATACTGATCTTCACCGTGATAGAAATCATTACCTCTTAGCTCATCATCCACAAGAACATCAAAACCAGGCGAAAGCTCCCTTGAAATATCATCACCCTTGTTCTGAATGCTGCTGTGATCATCAAACCTGACAGACTGATGCACTCTGTTGGACCTACCAACAGGATTTCCATTTGTAGGAGGCACACCTTTTGGTTTGTGCCTGTGATGCACAACATCAATGACAGAATTTGGTGGCAGCACGTTCTCGTTAAAGGCAGAGTCATTCTTGGACAAATGAGTTCCCAGTTTCCCAATTGGTTGTGCTTGTAGAGGTAATCCACCAGACTTCCAAGTATTTGCTTGAGAAAATGTCTTTCCTTGCACACACTTTTCAAGCCTACCAAATGCCTTCTTAAAAGGGTTTTTCTCAGTAGATGCAGTAGATACAGGATGTGGTGGGGCTTTGTTAGGTACAGAGATCGGTGCATGGAAGAACGGACACCTATCACCTTTTAAACAGAAGCCTTGCTGGAAGAATATGCAGGGTACACCTTGCTTACCAGAACCATATGGAACATTTGGTGTAGGTGCAACAGATGCCACTGGAGGTACAGAAGATCCCGTAGGAGTTTGAACTTGAGCTCCCAAAAATCCATCAAGCGGCTGTAAGAAGAAGATTGTTAACTATCATGTCAACAATTAGCTTACACAGCACGCTGTGTTCACTATTAAAAGTATAAACTGTTAATTTTATATCACCACAACAAGGAAACCTGGGTACTTATTATAGCACATAGATGATAAGATTGCGGAGTATGTTAGAGAAGAAATGACTCACAGGATGCCGGAACCCGCACTTTGGGTTTAAGCAGCTTCCATTCAACCAGTACCAGCAATCTCGAGGATTAAGCCGAGCTACGTCACTATGGCGGTACTCACACTCGCTTCCCTGTTGACAAAATAATTAAGGCGTCAGGAAAAATTGATGTAGATGCGTACAGAGCAAAGACACAGATTGAATCACCTAGAACATTATAAATCATGGAGAAGCCAATAAAGTCTGTATTCACTCACCCATACAGAAAATTGATACGGAAAAGTACGATGCCAACTGCTTTTGTGCAACAATTGTCATTTACTCACTTGTTATAAAAAGATAAATTAATGAGAAATAAGTTCAGTTACCACACGTGTTGCATTGATTAACTTTGTCTTACAA